CCAGAGGAGGGACAGTGGTTTGGACATGTCCAGAGGAGGGACAGTGGGTATATTGGTAGAAGGATGTTAGAAATGCAGCTGCCAGGACAAAGACAGAGGAGATGTGTGGGTGCATTTAGAGAGGACATGGAGGTAAATGGACTGAGGACAGAGTGAGACCCCTGAAGAGGGAAAACCTAAAGAAAGACGTCCGTCACGGTTAGTTCTGCTCCACGCCTCTGTTGGTTTTACGACGCTCGCTTCATTGCTGAAAGCGCACGTCTTTGCAGGACGTGCACAGCTCCTCCGGTGACATGAACGATCAGCATAAAGACGGACTCGTCTGAGCGGCCTTTTTACCGAAGCGCCTAATTCTGTGTTGAGCCACCTGTTCTGCAGGGACGGCTGCGAGGTCTTCGGGGTCTGTCTTTTCCAGCGTGGACGTCTAGAAACTGATATTTGCTGTCAAGACGGAGGACCACGTCTCATAGGTCTACAGCTGTTCTGAACTCTGGTGGATTGAATGGATGTTCAAAGCTTTAGATATTGTTTCATCACCTAACCTGCTTCGAACTTCTTAGCAACTTTATCCCCGACACGTCTGGTGTGTTCCTTGGTCTTCATGGTGCTGATGATCACCAATGTTCTGTAACAAACCTCCGAGGCCTTCAGTGGACAGCTGATTTAAAACGGATTCAAGCACACAGCTGGACAGGTATAAACAGGTGACTTCAAAGGAGTCACGGTAAAGGAGGGCGAACACAAACGTGCGCCACACGCTTCACCACGATTGCTCCGGTTGTAGAAACACGTCATCACGGTTTTTAACGTAAACCAGACTGTTGGTGGAAACGGTTTCCTCGGTGGTAGAGCAGGACGCACCAGATCTTCAACAACAAACTGTTGAATGGTACCGACTTCTGTTTTTGTTTCTTCTACAGGTTTATCTGCACAACCACCTGTCCTTCATCTTGTACTTCCACCGAGAGAAAGTCGAGGAAGAGGAGGTTCACAACTACAGAGTGGTGCGATTTGAGGTCGTTCCCCAAAGTGTCCGAGTGGAAGGTTGGTGTTCACGGGGCTTGAGGAGCTCTTTGTGTTGGTTCATGTTTCAAGTTTAGTATTTATTTATCGAACTCAGATCTTAAGGCTGCAGAAACAGACAAGACGTGCACCCTGCCTGAGGTCAGTGGTTCTGCACCTCTGGAGATCGACCCGAAGAAAGAGAACGAGGTCCTCTTCACCTACTCAGTCCACTGGATGGTCAGTCGATCCTCAGCATCACTTGATACCCTTGAGTCAGTCTGTACCGAGTCCCCGGGGTGGGTCCATAGTCTGTACCGAGTCC